GTTTTTGATGCGTCCTCCTACTCGTAGGATACCATTTGCGTCTAGAAAAGGTTGTAGTCTTGCTAGACTGCTTCGTGTATGTATTGGCTTATTTTCTCTGCAATTAGAAATTTCCTTTCTAAAAACAATAAATTTAGTATACTTTACCAATGCTATTTCAGCGTTTTGAATTTCAGCGCAAGACAAGCTGCCGAATTATCGTACAACGGCGCCAGCCCTTGTGTTATTGATGAAGCGTAATAAATAAGCGGTGATGCGTTTAAGTTTGCAGAATGAATGATACTTCGTCAAAAAATCCCAATCCTCACTAGTTTGTGTTAGCAGTGTTACAGCCTTGCTAGATTTTTGCTCGAGATCTGTAGTGTGTGATTCTGCAGAAATCGGCCAGATACTGTTGTTCTCATGTAGCCAATGCGGACCATGCCACCAAAGTTGATGTGTGAGAAGCTGCGATGGTAATATGCCCCTTGAAGCGCAATCTGCGGGATTGTGCTCTGAAGCAACGTGCCTCCAGTGCGTTGCTGGTAGAATATCTTGTACTGCAGCGACGCGATTGGCCACAAATACTGACCAACGGCTAGGATTGCCTTGTAACCACGCTAAGGTAATCATTGAGTCCGTCCATGCGTATAATTTTGAGAAGGTGTGGTTCAGATTTGATTGAACCTGCTTCACTAACTTTGCCCCCAAATGAGCTGCACAAAGCTCCAGTCGTGGTAAAGAAATAGCTTTCAGAGGCGCTACTCTTGTTTTCGCTGCTACTAGTACGACTTTGATCGTACCGTCCGGAAATTGTGTGCAACAGTAAAGTGCAGCTGCGTATGCGACTTCTGATGCGTCGGTAAAAATGTGATACTGAGAGTCAGAAGTTTTGCTAGTTCCTAACCAGCGGCTTAGTTTTAGCGCTAATAGTTGCGGTAATTCACGACGATGTGCCAACCAGTCCCACGCAATTTCTGAAGGAACTGGTTCATCCCAATTCACATTTGAGCGCCAAAGTTTCTGTAACCAAATCTTAGASCGGATTGTACAGGGCGCGATCAAACCCAATGGATCGAATACCTTACTTGAGTCGGAGAGAAACGTTCTTTTTGTAAGTTTAGAAGGCAGGTCGTTAAAGCTCACTGCTATAGAAAGCCAATCGTKGTTTGTGTGCCATATGGTACCAAGAGTGCGGATTTGGTCTCCATCGGCTAAGAGATGCGATACTTGTTTAGATACGTGTGGTGTCATATCTCTAAGCATTTCAGAATTAGTTCCCCATTTTCGTAGTTCGAACCCACTTTCAGAGAGCGCGTGGGAGACGTTTTTTTGAAGTAAAGCGAGCTCATCAAATATATTAGCACCAGATAGTAAGTCATCCATATAAAAGTCTGACCTTATAACTTCAATGACTTCCTTGCTTGCGTTTGACGCGTTAAGTGCTGCGCGATGTAGAGACTTAACAGCAAGATGTGCTGCTGAGGCGACGCCATACGTGACCCTTAAGAGACGATAATCACGGACCGGATCTGCTGGATTGGAACGCCACACTATGCGTTGATAATCTGTGTCCTCTTTAGCGACATAAACTTGGCGGTACATCTTTTCGATATCGGCTATGATTCCGAAACGGTGAGTGCGAAAGCGAACCAAAATAGAAAATAGATCTTGCTGTAGCTGTGGGCCTAACATGAGGGCATCGTTTAAAGAATTCCCAGAGGTTGACTTCATAGATGCGTTGAAAACGAGTCGAAGTTTCGTTGTTTGACTTGTGGTCTTTACCACCGCATGATGTGGCACATAGTAAAGTTTATCTGTTGTCGTCTCAGCTGGTTCCATGTGTCCCATAGAGGTGAGTTCATCCATAAACATAGTATACTCTTTGCGAAGTTGTTCGTCACCTGCAAATCTTCTTTCCATGCGGAGTAATGATCGCATAGCTGCTTCTCGTGATTCACCTAACAACACATTTTTCTTCAAAGGTAAACGTACGATGTAGCGACCATCCGAAGCACGTTGGGTCGTATCATCGTAT